CGTGATATTTGGTTCGTACATCCACTTGATGATTTAATTGATCTCAGAGCCGTTTTTGTGTTCATAGGGGCCCTGGGCCTGTCATAATCTGGGGGCCCTTTATAAATAAATTTAGAGAAAAAATTTAATTTTGAATAATTTTTAAAAATGATTTTATTTTAAGAGTAAAAAACATATAAATTAATTATAAAAGCTTATATACATTATTTTTATCGAAAATTAAAGGTAATAATACTTTTCGCGCTTTTTGAGAGACGAATCTTCTATCACATCATCAAAATCAATTTCCTGTAAGACATACAGTTTGATTTGCAGCTCAAAATCTGTAAGACTTAGAAACATCGAATTATGAAGGTGTGTAGAAAATATGCAAGGAGTTAGAAAGAATACAAGAAAATACAGTTTAAATATTGTTTGTTTTTTTTAATAATAGTTGAAAAACGGACTTACTTTTGAACCAATGTTTAACTACGTAGCAAGAAATTCTAAAACCAATCCAGAAGACAAGGAAATTCCTGGATCAGTTCCCAGAGGTATTGAATTTTTATGAGAACTTGGAGGAGTCTATGACCCCAACAGATTTAACATTAATTTTATGCATGGGTATTATTCGGCAGGCTGAATTCGTCCATAGTCCTACCAACCAAGCTATTGTGGCCAAATTATTAGTTTATTTTATAACAGTCATTGAACAGCCCACCCAATTTCGAGTTTACGACTACTAATGTTCAACTCCGTAGCCTTGTAATTTTAAACCCAATCCATCATACGAGAGAACTCCTGGATCAAGTATTGGAAGAAATGTTTGCCTTCATGGAGGACGTTTTGATGGAACTAACCCGCATTTGCGTTGCATAGAGAGGAAGAACACGAGTACCTCCCACGGTTAGCCTGGCAAAGGGACTCTAACCCATGATCCGCCTACCACTGAGGATATTTCATGTCAGCACTGTGGTCGGTAAAAGCCGGGTGTGAATTTCATATCGACCAGCCATCACTGGGATTCGAACTCAGTGCACCTCATTCAGAAGAGAATGCTCTATCTCTTGAGTCCATCTTCATTGAGTAATAACTCTGCGGCAGGTGCCAATTTTCTAATTATATTGATTGGTACCAATTCTATTGATTTGCCCAAATTTAGTCATCTTCAAAATGTAAATGGTAATTCGATCATAATTTTTGTAGGAAAAAAAA